ATTTGGTATTTAGGTAAAGTATAATTTGTATTATAACACTAGTATGCTTCTCTGGACCTGAGACCTATCAATTTACACTAGCCATTTCTGGATATCTCAAGGGTAATGATAATTATCTAATTACTATCTCAAGGATAGATAATAAGGTGACCAACCGTCCTCCTTTAGGGAGGACTGTCCTCCTTTTGTGAGTTCTGTCTTCCTTCGAAAAGTGTCCTCCTACATGTCCTCCTTTTTGATATTTGAAGTCTAATCTGCAGGGCTTTTTTTTCTCATAGAACACTCAGAATGGCGTTCCGGCACCTTTTTTTGATGGGTTTTTTTTCAGCTTTTGCATGAGCTGTGCTACTCCCCCTATTGGCTTTTGAAAGCCAATAGGAATTGCTGCTGAGAGTGCCAAAACACCCAGCCGGCAAACTTTGCACATGTAAGTTGTCTGCAGCAAAGGCGAATTGGCAGGAACTTTGCACCCCTCCCTGCTACCCAACTACACCATCTCCTAGTTAGTCCCGAAGATACCTGAAGGAGACTGGAGCTGCGATGCCACGGTAACTTCCTCTTGATCTTCGGCCCTGCTAGGGCAATAATGGCTGCAGGCGCAAGAGGCAGGGGCGGTGGGGCTGCTGCGGGCGGGCGTGTGAGGGGTGGAAGTGGCTGGCTGCCCCCCATGCTGTGGGAGACGCGGGGCCTGCTCTACACGGGGCTGCGCAGGGTGGGCGGTGGTGCTGGCGGGGTGGCTGCAGGTGGGGTGTGTTGACGGTGGGCTGCCCCCCAGGGCCGGAGCCAGAGCTGGCACAGCTGGTGCTTTGGGAGCCACGGGGCCCACTCTACACGGCGGGGCAGCAGTGCTGGCGGGGAAGCTGCGGGTGGGGGCGCGGTATGTAAGCATAATTACAATATAAAATGTTATTGTTACAAATGTTTTTATTATGCATTTATCATATTATAGTGTATTCTGTATTATTGTTGCAATGAATAAAATGTTTCTTTTATTTACGATATTTTTTCTTCAATTTATTTGTGTCCTCCTTTTCATTGTAAAAAAGTTGGTCACCTTATAGATAATTACTATCTTAAGGATAAAGCATAGTACAGCTTATTCTGACTAATGCTAACTAGTGAACCCTCAATATGAGTTCTATTCTGTCTTCTGTCAGTCTATCCATCCACCCATCTGTCCATCCATGCCAAAATCACCACTTCATGGCATTCAGGGCTCCTTTTAACAATCAACAACTAAAAAGGCATTAAAATATCTACAATCAAAACATAAAAATATAAAAAGTTATTAAAATTATTAAACACATTTACAATCAACATTAACAGGACCACTCAGTTTTCAGAGAATGCCAGAGGTAACGGGTGGCTCTTTATCAGTTTTCTAAACATCCAGAGTGAAAGACCTAACCTCAAGTCCATTGGAAGTTCATTCCAGAAGTCTAGTGCTATTTTGACCCATCAGTAGACATGTGCCGTAGCAATCTCTCATTCAGATGGGATCATCAGATTCTCTATAACAGATCATACTGCCGAATGGTCAGTGAGTGTGAGGCAACTCCTCAAATATCGAAGTCTAGAGTTATTCAGGGCTTTATAGGCAAGTACTAGGGCCTGGTATACTCACAGGACAGAGGCTATTTTTTTCAGCCTATATTTTGTTTTCCCTGATTGCAGCATGTTCAACCAGCTATAATCACCTGACTGTCTTCTAAGGCAGCCCCACACAGAACATGTTTCAATAATCTAATCAGTAGATTAAACAATTTAGGCATGTTTTGTACTCTAAGCATCTCCCTTTCTACTTCATTCTTAAGCACTTCTATTTAAACTGAGGAGCCCTCTAAGCTTAACATATGTGTAGAGAGCTTTTATGTAATTGTCCTGTATTAATGTAATTGTACTGTATTAATTGCCCAAACTATCTCAGTATAACATAACAAGGCTAGATCATCATCAGGAGCACTAATTATATCCATGCAAATTCTCAAAAGTATTTAAGAAGCACTCTATTTCCATAAATATTTGAGTATGGACTTTCCTGGTGCCTAATTTTTCCAGAAGGAATCAACACTCAATTCAAATAGTCAACTACAATAAGCCATCTTAACACATTTTAAATTTTAATTTTTTTGTTTAATTAACAATTACAGTTATTATAGGTGATAAGTGTTCAGTTTTGAAATGATAGCATTTTATACTTTGAATGACATTTATTCTTTGTCACTTATGCTTGTTTATATGTCATAATCCTGCAAACAAAGAAAAATAATATATACTGTACTTTTCTTCATAAAGTACAGCAAAAGAAATAAAATTCTAATTTTCATGAGATTCTGCCATTCCCCAACTATATATTAATTGCAAAGAAATGAAGCTATGAAACAGCCATTAAGAGAGAAAGAAGGAGGACTTGTGTGGAAAAAAATTACACAATTCAGAGACAGAAAAAAACATGTGAATGTATCAAACTAACCCTGTCTGGCTTTTGTTGGGATATAAAATGGAGAAACAGAAACCTGAATAGGCTTTTTAAAATCTTTTATTCCACCTTGCTACTATAAAGAGCATTCCTGAAATTGTGCCATGCCTGATTTATGGTTTGGCCTACCTCACAAGGCTGTTATTAGCAATCTTTAGGCAAATACAATATAAATTTGCAAAATATGGGTAATGATGGATCTAATTTACCTCATCTCTGCTAGCTATATGCTGGAATGTATGTCTTTAAATCCAGTATCCCTCCACAAACACAAAGGCAGCTAGGATTCCTCCGTAATTGGCATTCATCAATAGGCTGAGTTATTGAATTCATGAACCACATTAGGCCAGCTTTAATGTACACATCCATGAAGTACCCGTGTGTTGCAGTGAGCAAAATGTGAGTTTAACAATTGAAAGTATACTTGATCCTGAGCCTGCCTGGCCCTAATCCAACACTTTAATCATAAACCACACTAGCAGTCAGTACAGTCTTTATTTACAAGTGTTACTATGTTTCATGTCTATATTTGCCTCATAAGGAAGCATAACAAAAATTGTAAGTGAATCAGTAGGTAAACAGCCATTGACTATCTGAATTATATATATTGAAAGCTAACCTCTTTTGACTTATCTAAAAAATCTGGGCAAAGTCAAGTCTTGCTTTAGTAAAGAATATAAATAGCTCTGGGTTGAAGTGTTAGAGTCTCGATATTTTCAGTTAATGTTACCTAGCCTAATCATGAAATGTCTGCAGAAGGAGAAGCAAAAGAGAACACCAAAATTGTAACAGATTCAATTTTATTTAATGTTTTGATGAGGGACACTAGGAAATAATAATAATAATAATAATAATAATAATAATAATAATAATAATAATAATAATAATAATAATAATAATAATAATAATAATAATAATAATGCGACGATATCTGTAATACCATCAAACATCCACATCTGCCTATCCCAGGTCCTGGGAAAGGACTCGATAGGTAGACAAAATGCCAAATCCAGTCTGAACATCTGGCTGACTGTGCGATGATCCATAATAATAATAATAATAATAATAATAATAATAATAATAATAATAATAATAATAATAATAATAATAAAGTTGGAAGGGACCTTGGAGGTCATTGAGTCCAATCCCCTGCTCAGGCAGGAACCCTACACCATTTCAGACAAATGGCTGTCCAGTCTCTTCTTAAAAACTTCCAGTGTTGGAGCATTCACTGCTTCTGGAGGCAGGTTGTTCCACTGGTTAATTGTTCTAACTATCAGGAAGTTTCTCCTTAGTTCTAAGTTGCTTCTCTCCTTGATCAGTTTCCACCCATTGCTTCTTGTCCTGCCTTCAGGTGCCCTGGAGAATAGCTTGACTCCCTCTTCTTTGTGGCAGCCCCTGAGATATTGGAACACTGCTATCATGTCCTCCCTCGTCCTTCTCTTCATTAAACTAGACATACCCAATTCCAGCAGCCATTCCTTATATGTTTTAGCCTCCAGTCCCCTAATCATCTTTGTTGCTCTTCTCTGTACTCTTTCTCTAGTCTCAGCATCTTTTTTACATCGTGGTGACCAAAACTGGATGCAGTATTCCAAGTGTGGCCTTACTAAGGCATTGTAATCTAGACGTGAACGATAAAAAAAATCCCTGAAAAAGGCAATGGCAAGCTATTTCTGTATTGTGATGGCTAAGTAAACTAAATGGCTGTGACTGTAAAATACCAGGAAACTGAGCATGACTTAAAAACTTTACTAAAGTGCACAGATGCATTTCCAAATGAACGGTGCTTCTATTTCTTTTACCATCAGGTTTCTTACAAGAGGCAAGAAAGTTTGGTCAACATCTGCAACATTGATTTTATTAAATTAAGTTAAATAATTATGTTGACATGTTAACTTTATTGAGTTGCTAAATTTTTAACCTGACTTACAAATACTAGATACAGAAACTAGGGCATAAAATAAAATATGGAAAACTGCTTGCAGGTTAAGCTAAACAGCATCTGGGGTCAACATATCTTGGTACAAACCATTTTGAACCGAGCAAATACTGAGCTCCGGAAATACGCGTTAAGGTGGGAGCCTTCATTCTCTTTTGTTATCACTTATGGCGCAATACGAAAATGTATTACGGATATGAAAACTAATAACAGGGTTCTGAGCCTGGGCGTGTAGCGATCGGCGCGCTACTGTGTCGGAGAGAGAAAAGCGTGGGCGAGATGACTGAGGAAAACGCCTTTATGAACCAAGCCGTGGGTTAACCTCCACAGGCAGAGCTTTTCATACTTTTTTTTTTTTTTTGCAGCGTGTGGAGAAACGGCTTGAGACAAGGGAGGTCGGCCTAAAGTCGATGATTGACACGCAGAACGGTCTGAAGAGGTTTCATACTGAAACGGGGTGGGGGGATGGAGAAGCTGGGAAGAGGGAGGGCCAAAAAAGGAACTACTGTAAGAGTTAAGAAAGTCCTGCCCAGCTGTTTGCGAACTTTTTAAGATTTCCTGTTTCTCCTACAGCTAGAGAAAGGGAGCGACTCGCACACGCACGTCAGAAGTACCCAAGCCGCAGCTACTCCCGCTGCCTCCACTGGGGCCTCTTTTTCCCCTCATCCCAGCCTGCTTCAGAGCCGCTTCGTCGTCTTTCACCCTAGCCCCGAGTTCCGCCCGCTTCCCCTCGTCCCCCAGAGTTGTCTCGGCCAGGCTGTTCCTTATCCCGTGTCTTGCAGGCCGCCTCAGGGTGGAGGGAGATACAATGAGCTGGATTCCTAAGCACATTTTGTTATGGACTCTCCTGCACAGTACGGCTCACCCGCTGGGACGGGAAACAGGTAAATGTGGACTTTGATTTCCTACCTGAGGTGTCTGTCTGTCTGGATGGTCTCTCCTCCCCACCCCTTTTCCTCTCCGCACTTTTCTCTTATTAGCCGCCTAACATTCACACCGCACTTCGAAAGAACTCGTTAAGTCACTACCCCGATTTAGCACTCTCCGGATGTGTGTGATTAGAAGTCCCATCATCCGCTGCCAGCATGCCTATTGGGTGCATCATCAAAGTCACGGTCGAGTATATCTGGAGCATATCAGGTTTAGAGAGTCTTTTCTAGACAGTCTTTATCTGGGATTAATCTGTCTCTTCCCTTGTCCAAATTTATTCTAATGTTAACTATCACCCTCCATTTCTTTCCTGAATGCTGAAGAACTGCATAGGCACCATCCTTAGTACCACAATTGTTTTGCTAGCTAGCATATATTTGGGGCTTGCATTTCAGTAAAATGTAATTCAGGAGTTTTAATCTTGGCCTTTGGTTATCAAGACAGCTGCCTTATTTTGCACTTCCAGCTGTTGCCACACCTAGCCTGGATAAGTTGCTGTTTGTGCATAGGTCAGTTGTTGCTGGCTTGGCGGTAATTAGTGAGTTGGGATACAGTGCAGCAGAAATAGAAATATTATGTGCTAATGTTTTCTGAGTCAGAAATCCCCAAATTTGTTTTGAAGCAAATTTCCAAAACTCAAGTTTCCTTAATTTTGCAAACACAGCAGAGTAATCTGTACAGAAAAAACTCTTTCTATACAAATGTAAAGAGCTGCATAGCTGGTTATTAGCAGCAATTTCTCCCTTTTAATTTTGTTTGTTTGTCTCTTTAATTAGGATAAAGTAAGTTACAGAGAAAGCATGTGCCCCAAGTTCATTTCTGAAATACTGACGATGCTAAATACATATCAAAATAGTGTATGAGACTTTGGTCTAGGATCTAAGGCACCTTATGATCTCCATTTGCTTTCTGTCTTTTTCAGAAGCAGCACTTTGCATTCATATAATACACTTCAGTGCAGTATCATTTTAAAGAGATGAATATTTAAAGTTTTTTGGTATATAAAATATGATAATTGCATTGGTTCTGTGAATTAGGGAGAAAATAAATAAGAGTATTTACTTTCCAGTGAAGCTAATGAAGATTTTGATTTTTTTTAATCATGTTTATGGGGGTATACAGATTTGTGTTATTTCAATGTTTATAGAAATAAAATTGTAATTAGGTTAGATTGGAGAACAGTAAGAATCTATGAGGTTAGATATACTTTAGGCTGAAAAAACCCTGCTTTTCCTAATCTGATATACTGCAGATGAATAGGACTCTAACCGGTATCATCATTGGCCAGCATGATGGAAGTTGTGATCCACTCATCTCAAAGTCTAGCTAGGGAACAGTTGCTCTGGGGCTGTATTCTGTAATAATAATTCAGTAACTGTCTAGAAGCCTTGCCACCCTCTTAAAAGTTTCTATTGTACTTGTTTTCCTTTCCTTCATTTTATGTCTGATATACCTTTCTAAAACAACTTTCTCCTTGCCCCCCTTCAGACCTGTTTCAAAATAATAATAATAACAACAACAACAACAACAATAATAGTAAAGTTGGAAGGGCCCTCTGAGGTCATCTAGTCCAACCTCCTGCTCAGGCAAGAAACCCTATACCATTTCGGACAAATGGCTGTCCAGTCTCTTCTTAAAAATGTCCAGTGTTTGAACACACTTTCATGCATGTTCATTTGTGATTCCTTCCATTTCTCCTTATTAATCGAGAAATTCAGGCTTCAAGTTATTTAGGGCAGAGCAGATATCTCTACATTATTGTCATGCTATGGTGAAATAATTTCCTATATGTTTTATAAATAAAATCATATGACATTATACATACAGTAATGCTGCTTTTATGTTTCTTGAAAACTGATGGTTAATGCAACTTACCATATTGTGCTGGAAGATTGTTTATAAGTATGTGTGTATGTATGTATGTATACACACACACACACACACATATATATATACACATACATATATATATATATATATATATATATATATATATATATATATATATATATATATATATACATACATACATATTTAAATTAATAATATTTAAATTAATACTAGTAATAATATTAAGCATTCTGCAAATTATTTTTAGAATGTTAAATGTTTCATTCTCACTAGAGCAGCAAATGCATGTGGACAAAGCATAATCATAGATTAACTGTGTGATTGTAATTGTTCAAATTCTTGCATGGCTCAATATATTATTCCTGTAATGATAGTGTGGAGTATGTCACCAGAGCCGATGGTATTGTCATGTGGTTGAACCTTAAAAGTGTAAGTCTCACTGAAGACTATAGAATAGTGTGAAATGTATGCATGTTATAAGAGAAAAAAAATCATGCTTATTATACTAATGTATACATTGCTTGTCTTGCTAGGGGACTAGAATTTAGTTGCTTGAGCTTTAAAGAGGTAATTGAGAATTAGATTAAAAGATTAACCTATAGTTTTGCAGTTACTCCTGAAGAGTGGAACAGTTTCTGGAGCAGTATTCAGGACATCTGTAGCATTTGTTCCATACACAAACGTTTTTGAGTTTTGGCCTATGTAGTTGGATAAGCCTCATGACCGACCAAATAATAAACAAGCTTGCCTTTCTTTCTCCCCAAATTATGGCTGGAGTGGATGTCTTCAGTTGAGAACTGATAATTTTCAATATAAAATTGATAGAATATGATTGGAAGATGTGAAAAATTTAGTAAACAATTATTTGGCATGTATACTTTCCTTTTAGTCAGTCTTCCTGTTTTCCTTATATCATAAATTTAATTTTAACTTAAAGTACCTACAGATGTGTAATATGGAGGCTGGCTTCATAAATATCAAGTAATTTTTGAGTTGTTCTTTTTTGAATGATTTACAGTATTGGATAAGAGAGTGGTTATATTTTCTTCATTTATATAAATTTCTCATAGCTGCCTAACATCAGTAATAACTTAATTATTATTATAATTTAATAACTTAAAGCATATATCAAGTATAAACTTCATATATAAAATGGTTTATATCATTAAATAAATTTCATCAAACAAAATAAATTAATTGGAAAAACTCCCTGCAAAATAGCAGTTTAAATTCTGAGGTTGCTACTTGTATGCAAGCATGTAGAAAGCTACAGTTTGTTAATAAAAATTGCTTTGTGTACTTTGAGGCCCTTATGAAAGTTCTTCAGTCCGTAATTTTTATTTTTACAGGGACTAGTTTAAAATAATAAAAACAACTGAGATATCATTTTAAATACATGTTGGATATTCAGTGGAATGCTGTTGTTTGAAAATGTCTTCAGTAACTTATATAATGGGATAGCTCCACCAGCAATCTTCACAGATAAGTTTTCTTTAAGATAGCCACATTCAATCACTTGCAGTGTAAGATTATTCATGGCTAAGGGAATAGATTGTAACTTGTTCAGATTCAGTCTGATTCGAGTGCATGTCAAACATTCTTTCCAGATTTCAAAAGACTATGAAGTCAGAAATGCCTGATAAAGGGTTAAGGAAAAGCATATAGAACAGGGATGTCAAACTAGAGGCCTGCAGGCCGGATGCATCACGCACAGGCCACGCCCACCCCAGCTCTGCAAAGGCAAAATACATCACAATATGTCACATGACACAATCAAGTTTGAAACCCGTGATAGAATGTTTTAACAAAGAAAAAATAGAATTTTTGCAATCCAAAAGTAACTACTACCCATGTGAAATTTTGCATAACAAATCAGCAACAATACCTTTATATTAATATCATGCTAAGTGACATGCATTTTAAGTATAGCTGAAATGTGATTGGAATCTTTTTGTGCCTCTTATCCTAGATAATGAAACAGAGATGATGACCATAGTTATTCTAGAACAAGTCATTGGAGTTTCTAAAGCTAGTCTGTTTAAATCAAATACAAATACAAGGTGGCTTTCTTAAGATAGTTAGCATTCCTATTCCTGGTTCTGCATGAGAAAAAAGTGGAGAAGCATGCAAGTGCACTGGAACTCACTTATTCTCATTGATTCAAAATGAGAGAGCAGAATCTGAGATCATTGAATGCACGTTCAGTATGTATCACTCTATTGCCCAATAAAGAATTATAATAGAGAAATTATTAAACAGATGGGGAGGCATCCTATTAACTGTATTTTATCAATGTAATTTAACAAATTAGTATGATTTGCAAATGTTACTACTTTTTAATTAGTGAAGATAAGCCTAGGTAGATAATTATCAAAAAAATAGATAATTATCAAACAAGTTCAGACAGTGCTTATTAATGAAATATATAGTAATTTGGCTTTTGGCTTTTGATTGTCTTGAAACAAACACCCATTAGGAAAAGAAATCTAATTTTACCCTTTACTCTTTCATATTTGGTCAAAGCAAAATGGTTTTCAGAATTATAAATTATCTATGACAAAAACTTTC